TCTACAGAAGCTCGGAAAAATTCGAAAATAAGCTCGAAAGCTTCAAACCAAGCTCTGATACCACTTGTTGTGGTATCATCCCAAGATCAAAAGCATAATTTGAGAGAAAAAAAAAAGTTTCTATTACTCACAAGAATAAAAACAAGAGATTTACAAACTCTAAACAAAAAACTCTCAAACACTCCACAACTCTTTCTTGGTTGTGTTTCAACACTCTCAAGGTTGATTGATCACTCTCAAGGATGATTTGAATGAATGAAATATGCAAGCTATTTATAGATACAATCAAGCACACCCTCTTTGACAATAGTGTGTGAATAAGAATGGTTGGTGGAAGGAAGATGGTTTTTCATTGGTGTGCTTCAACAATTTCTTCTTTGGTGTGCTTATGATGTGCATGGAACTTTCAGAACATACTACTTTTATAAATTTATATATTTTTTATTAGAAAATATCTTGTTTCAAGTAACAACATAAAGATAAGAAGTGTATATTTTTATTCAAAATATATGATTAATTGAACCAACCAAACATTTATGCTACCTTATACAAGAATTTGTGTTAGAAGTTATATTATATTTTATAAGTTCTTCCCTCCACACACGGCGAGCCATACCATAGACAAAGCTACATGGTGAAGCATGGGTTAATAATAGCTCACTAACTAAACGCAGTGACTTGTTGGTGTGTTCTAAAATTCTCTCTCTGCGAAATTTTCAAAATCACCAAATCAAAAATTTCAGAAACCCTCCTTCCATCTGCCTCCTCTCTGCAGCCAAGCTCCCTGCTACTCCTCGACGTTGACCGGTACCGGGACAGCCTCCTCTCTCCCATAAGGTCGCGGTCTCCTCTTCCTGTTGGAGGTCCTCCCTCGGCGGGCTTCGATAGATGCGCCGTTGACAAGACCTGGTTGATGGGGCTGTGGGCTACGCTCGACGGCTTTTCGGCTGACCGAGCTTGGGCCAGCACTGTATGTTTTCCTCTTTTTGCTGTAAGTTCTCTGGGTTGGGGACGGATGGGTTCCTCCGACAGAGGGCTTGTTTCTTCTTTGGTGGAAATGGGTGGGGTCCGTCAGTATTGTGTTGGGAGAGGCGTTGGTGTTCGGTCTCCTGGTGTCGCTGTCTGGTGGTGTTGCTAGTGAAAGGGGTTTCGACTCCCTAGGTCAGGTTCTAGTTAGCCTTAGCCTTTTAGGAGTTGGGAGTTCTAGTTCTGTACCTATTGGGACCGAAGCCTTGCTTTTTCTTGGTGGTTGCTTCTAGGTGTTAGTTTCGTGTGTGGTTTTGGAGTAGCTTGCATGCAGTGAGGGAGACTTTAATTATTACTATTGTAGTATATTGTTTTGTTTTAGGTTTGTGTTGTGTCTTTTTGTTTTCTGGTTTTGGGTCTCCCATTGGGAGTGCTTTGTCTCCCATTTGGGGAGTGATTTGGTCTCCTAGTAAGAGAGTGTAGTGTCTATTTTAGTGTCTAGTGTGGGCTCTGGGTGGATCCCTACGTTTGAGTCGTCTTTCACCTTTGTGTTTAGTGTAAAATGCAAAGGTGCTTTGTAATGCCAGTGGGCATTCGGCGGAGTTAATATTATCTCGTTTGAAAAAAAAAAGCCTCACTAACTGATGAAATAGAATATAAACATATCATACAATACATATGAATACACAAAGGTATTTAGTTGAAGGTTATGAAATATTGGTTGGTGGACACTTAGCATATCCTCATATTAGTTAAAATATAGAACTAGAACTCGGTCTCTAACTCAAAAATAGAGGGCGTGGGTTCATATTTTACGGGCCTGAAAAAAAATAAATTACAAGTCTTAAAAA